TCTTTTTTTTTTTAAATGTCTAAATAAAAATATTTATAAAATTATTTTTATTTATTTATTTATGTATATTTATATGTCAACCAAAATAAAAAAATATAAACAAATAAAAAAACAATAATATAAATAATTTTAATTAACATTAAAAAAAAAATTACAGATTTTTTTTTGAAATTTTCCTAATATAAAAAGTTTTAGAACCTTGTCAACACAATGAAATAAGAATTACTTAATGACGTAATGCATAATGTTAACGAGAAAGCGCCAGAACTTTAAATGCATGCAGTTTTAACTTATTTACACAAATTTAAAATAAAAATGTGCTTTAATTAAGCATCGTTATTCAAAACTTTAAATGTAAAAACACCACATTTAATATTCTTTTGTATATATTATTAAAAAACTTAAGCTTTTAAACAAAATTTTATAAAAAATAAAACTTTATTATGTTTTTATTAACTTACTTAACATAAAAATTGTAAAAGTTCTTTCGTTATTTTCTTCAAATATATATATTTTATAAAGTATTAAATCTGACCAACAACAATTTAAACCTTAGCTATATTTTTACGCTAAATTAATTTCGATTATGCAAATAAATTCATGGTTAAAATAACATTTTACGATGATACTTTCTTTAATTTCTGCAATAAAAAATAAAAATAGACTTTATTATAGAAGGAAAGGCTGAAACTGGCATTTAGACATTTAAAAATACAATAATTGCTGCAAAAAAGTAAAAAAATTTTAGTTCACTTTTTTACTCAATATGAAAAATCTATATCAGAAAATACCAAGACAAATCCAAAATTTATCTATCGATATATAAACATAAAACTTAAAATTGAGTATCTATCTCCTAATAATCTTATATCTCAAAATCAGCACAGATTTTAAATAAGTTCCAAATAAATTATGAATTAAGACTTTATTGAAAACTGTTAATCAGATTTCATATTCAATGGCAATAGGCTGTAGTGTAGATGCTTTATATCTAGAAAAAGCGTTAAACAAACCTCCTCATGATCTTATGCTCCACAAACCTTACATTATGTAAGAAACACCAGTTTATGGTGTCTATTACATGCTACATAACTGAATAAAGTCTTTTTTTTCTAACAGAACACAATGAGTTGTCATGGGTTCCGCTACTTCAGATTGGTTACCAGTCACTAGTGGTATCTCACAAGGATCTGTTCTAAGACCTCTTCTATTCATCAATGAAACTCTAGGACCTCTTATTGATCAATGAAATTACTAGTTAGCAATCCAATGAAGTTATATGCTGATCACAGCTAAGTTATTTCCACCAAAACCATTGACAGCTCAATTATGCTTCAGAACGATATAAATCTAACCATGTCTTAGACTACAACCTGGCGCTTGGATTTTAACTACAAAAAATGCCTTACCCTACACTCCAATAAAATCAAAAATCCCAACCACCAATACTATATCTTACCTCCACATGGGATGCAGCTTCTTGATTCCTCTTACAATAAGAGATTATAGCATTTGCATCTTAAATGGGGCATGCATGACAAAATAATATTATCAAAAGCTAACTCATTCCTTGGTCAACTAAAGAAAGCTTTTATCTATAAAAAAGCAAAAGCCTGTAAAAGACTTTGCACACTGTAATCAGACCTCATTTCAAGTATGGTACTCCTGTACACACAACATTAAAAAACTTGCTACCCTTTTAAAGCATAAGAGAGAGAAAGAGAGAAATAAAAAATAAACTTATTTACTTTGGGCTAAATTTAGTACTTTTATTTAGTTTACTCCTTATGTTAATATTTTACTAATATTAACATAAGGAGTATGACAGGCTTATCATATTATTATTTTATATATGGCCGGAGATTTCCAGCAACTGCCTCTAACTGTAAGAAAATTTACATGACAAAATAAAGCTTGTGCAAATATTTTTTTAATTAAACAGCAAAGTTTAATGTTTTATAGGTTGAGTCAAATTTTACATAAACAGAAATAATAAAAAACATCTAGTGCATTTAAAATAAAATATCACTTTAATTAGTATTACATAATTATGCAATAACAAAAAGCAAAAAAATGTTCATTCATTATTACATTTTTGTGAGCCTCTTTAATGTAAAAAAGTTCATAAAATATTTTGACATAATTATTTTTAAATTAACGCAATATGTTCAAATGACAAGTATAAAGATTTCATTAAAAAACATTTAAAATCTGTAAAAAAACAAAACAACAACAACAACAAAGAACTAAAGAGCTTTGCTATTTTTTAAGCTATTTAAAAAGCTATTTAAATTCTACATTAAATTTTATATTTTTAATTCAGTTTTTAAAAAATAAAATACAATTGTCAATACACAATATTTTTTATAGTTTTTAACTTAGTATCAAAATACAACTTAATCAAAGTGAAAATAATAGATACTTATTCAAAACTTAAATTAAATCTTTTTTTATTTAATACTAATAAAAAATTTGTTTGTTTACATTTGTGTTACACAAAACCAATTTTAAAAGTATCAAAAATTTATTACTTAATTACAAAGTTAATCACAAAAGTATTTTCTTATAATTACTTTCTTTCTAAATCAGTGCGCTATTTCAGTGTAATTTTTAAACTTATTAAAATTTCAAGTTAGAAAAAAATATTTCACAATGAAAAGTAACAAAAGAACTTTTTAAATTTGAAAATAAACAGAAATGTAACAAAAAATAATATTTATAAAATAATGAATTGTTTCAATAAAAAAAGTGATCTAAATATACACTAGAGTTTAAAAAATTTGGTGAAATGCAATATTTTTTTTAACAATTATTCTAGAAAAACAACCATTGCTGATGATTGTGTTTCTGATGTATTTATGATATAATACAAAACAGTACAGTGTAAAACTTAAAAAACTATTACTAAAACATAACCAATTTTATTTTATCCACAAGCTTTTTTATCTAAATATCAAAAAAGCCCATGAAAAAAGCCTTTACATTACAAACATAAATACAAAATATAAAAATATTTGTGGACATTCTAGAATGCAGAAAAAAATAAATATTTAGATAAAAAGTGAAAAACCCATGCAGGAATCCCCTATGGCCTCTGGGGCCACTATGCCCCTGCTTTTGATGAAATCTGCGGTAGTGGTGTAGTGGTAAGAGCGCTCGCTTTGAATGCGAGAGGTTCGGAATTCAACTTCTACCACATCCCTGGAAGTATCACGCTCAACTTAATTTCTCTGTGCAACGGCCTTGTACCACAATTTACAAAAAAAAAAAAAAAAGCCTCCTAGTAGCCTCCTCAACTGCAGTGGCCCCATCGGGCCTTAGGGAGGTGAATAATTAAAAAAAAAAAAATCTTCAAAAACTTTTAGCACAGAAATGAGAGAAACCAAACTGTCCCATTCTTTAATTAACAATTCTGCATTTTGTCTACCATCAGAATCACACCTTTTTGTCCTACAATTTTTCTACAGGTAGCGGTCAATGAGGAAATGCGTTAGTTGGTGAAACAACCGCCTTTGACAACTAACTGAGGTAAACTGCAAGATGAGGTATGTTTGAAAACTCCTCTACTTTCATAGTAGTAATAATTTTTCTGGCATTATCTCTAACTATTATATTGAGTTTCTTAGGTAGCAAGATTGTAGAACTTGTATGGAAAACCACGTTGAGCCAATATGAATTTGTTTCATATCATCTGTGAGGAAGTGTGCTGTTAAGCTCATGTAGTCAACATAAGTTGTGGAGCTCCACTTGTTGCTAGTTATACTAACATGATTAGCTTTCTTTGCCAAGTACAAATTTTATCTGTTACCTTCTGATAAATATTGGGAATTTCAATAGTTGAAAAGTATTTTCTGCCTAGTATCGTATACCTCGGCTCAAAAAATTGAAGTAACCTTTTGAAACCAGGGTTCTCTACTGTACTAACAGGTCGATTATTAGTGCATGTCATTTCATCAGTGCATCTTAAAATTTTTATTGCTCTCGAATCTATAGATTTTAATTTTTTTTATTACCCTCGAATCTTTATCTCATAATTAACCAACAAACACTCGTTGTATTATTGGTTAATTATGAGATAAAGATCTAGGTCTAATTTTTCCAGTACTGAGTACAGAAGAAGACCTTCTTGTGTTGATTTTTGCATCCTCAGACATAACAATTAGACTTCAAAGGTCATAGGACTTTCAAAAGTAGAGTTAGAACTGAACCTAGAAAATGAGCCTGCAATAATATATGCTATCCTTGCATACATTAAAATTAACAACACTATCTTTATCCTGTTTCTGATTTTCCAATTTTTTCATTTATTTTGACTGTAAAATAGTCCCATAACTTGCTTTTTTATTATCACATTTATAACAATAAAATAATTATTATTACAATAATGATAAAAACAATAGCAATTATTATTAAAATAACAATAATAATAATAATAATAATAATAATAATAATAATAATAATAGAAATAATAATAATAATAATAAAGGCGAAAATAAACAAAAAAATTTAACCACCTCCACTAATTTTATCTTTTTGTAAAAACAAACAAAAAAAAAAGCTTTATACAATTATTTAACCATTGTAAAGTTTATTTAACTTAATGAGAGTAAAAAAAGTTTTATTGCCCCCCCCCTGCTTTAAACAGGAATATGTTGAGAAAATTTATTTAATTTAATGAGAGTAGAAAAAAGTTTTATCCCCCCCCCCTGCTTTAAACAGGAATATGTTGAGAAAATTTATTTAATGAGAGTAGGAAAAGTTTTATTTTTGCTGCTATAAACAGTATAAATTTTGATATAATGGATCACAATATGTTAAGAAAAAAATGGATGACAATATGTTGAGAAAAAAATGGATGACAATATGTTGAGAAAAAAATGGATCACAATATCTTGAGAAAAAAATGTAATTATAGACCTGAAGATGTAAACACAATAAGTGAATAACGAGACATAAATATAAGAACATTTAAATAATATTTTTATTTGTAAGCAACTTACTTGAGCCTCCAAAGATGCAATTTCCTTTTGTTTTTTAGCATTATCTGCACCTTTTCCTTTACTTCGAACTTTGGCAAATGCAGAAGATTCTAAGTTTTCTAAACTCAATCCTTTTGTGCTGAACAAACGCCTAGCTCTTTCTTCAAGAGTACCCCCACACTTTAAATTCAAAGCTTGAAGTGCAGATTTTAAACGATCTAGACCTAGGGAACTAAGTTCTTCTGGTGATGAAAATAATGATAAATCAAGTAGAGCTCCTAAACAAACAAAAGCTCTTTGTTTACAACAATTGTTTACAAAAAAAAAGATAATGGTCACGGATGCAATAAAGGCACTTATACTCTCGATATGTCAATGAATATTATTACATCTATTAGGATAAACTTTTATTCCAATATCCTAGTTTTAAATTATTTTCTAATTTGAGATTACAAAATATTTTAAAAATATTCAAGGCTAGAATTAAGTGAACCCAAATAACAATATCTGGAAATGCTCCCGGTCTTTAAATTTTACCTTTTTAAAAACCATAAACTCTGTTTTAATCACTGAAATCAATAGCTGTTATTCAATAAAAAATATTTACATTGATCTTGAATTATGATATAAAATTTTATTATAAAACCATGTTATTATTATTTTTATTATTATTAAGAATTATGCTTTAAACTTTAATATTTTAATTCATTTTATAAATCATCAGATAAAACTAGAAAAATAATGCACAATAAAGTACAATATAGTTATTAAAAACAACATCTAATCACAACAGTCTAAAGGAATTTAGTGGTGATCAAATATTTCAAAAAAACGAAATCGTGAAACAAGATATAAAATACTTTTATATCTTATTTAAATCTAATTCAATATTTTCTTATAAATTAAATACTTGTAACTTATTTGCAGATACATAAAAAATTAAAGGCTTAAAGGAATTTAAAAGTATATAAAAACTAATTTAAACTATAGTTATTTTAAAACAAAGCAAAAAAACTCTAATAACTTATTATTAATTATCAATTAATTAATTTCTAATTTCAAACAAATATTGTAAGCGATCACTTAATTTGAACCTTGTTATTACTGATTTTTGAAAATAAAAATGATTACTAATAACATGAAAAAATGAGTGATTACTGATAACAAAAACCTGCATGAGTTAAAGCACTTCCAGCTTCTTTTGGCCATCCTATAAATGAACCAGCATCAAACTTTGAATTAAAGTCATCCGAAGCCTCCTTTAACTCTTTTTCTAAATTCAAAAGAGGTTTAGCACGCTGAAGAAAATGATATAGATAATCTATAAGAGTGTTCAGGTAATTTTCAAAATCATGATTTTTTTTATCTTTGCTGATTTCAAATAAACGATCGAAAGTCATGAGATAAGTTAAATAATCTATATGTTCTATGTTTTTTAAGTTGATAAACTGAGTGTAAGCTTCATGTAAATCAAGGTATTTTCCGAATCCCTCTTCATCAGTGAACTCAACCATAATTTCTTGTTCATCAACAGGTTTTTCTCTAGCTTCTTTTAACCTTAATGCAAAAGAAAAACATATCCATATAAAAAAGCTGAAACAAACATCCATATAAAAAAATAAATAAATATATAACTAATTAAAAATCAAAAATAAGTAGAAAGAACTTTATATTTAAGAGTTCTCCTATGATGATATAACATCACACTTGGGTATTTATTAATTTATAAAACCAGTTTACTATTTGTGAGTTGTTTCTTGTTGAGTGACAAAATAAATGAGTCATTTTTAACACTTTTTATTAGATATATATTTTTTTAATATTTTTTATATATATATTATTACAAAAAACAAGTATAAACAAACACAAAAAACATCTATGAACTTTTTTTTTAACTTTATGAACAATTAAAAGTATAAATAGAAAAAACTTTATATGTTCTCCTAAAATTAAACTTTATATTTAAAAGGTCTCCTAAAATTAAACTTTTTTTGTAAGAATTCTCCTAAAATCAAACTTTATATGTAAAAATTCTTCTAAAATCAAACTTTATATGTAAGAATTCTCCTGAAAATTTTTAATTTTTTAAATTTATGTTAAGTAATAAATCATAAAATATTTAAATTCTAAATGAAAAATATGAATAATAATTAAAAGACAGGATAACCTGAAGAAGAAAAAATCCTAACATCAGTAACCTTGGGTTAAAAAAAAAGAGGGTATTATTCGAAAAAATCACGTTATTGAATCTTAATTAACATTAAGTTCAATTGGTTTTGAATTTTTAATCTGTATTGATTTCTTCAAATTTACAACTTAAGTTAGATAAACTGTGATACAGAATCTTATAATTTTTGATAATGATAAAGTAGATAACAGTAAATTTACCTATAAAGTAAATCACAACAACCAGTTACTACAGTTAAGTTACTCTATTGTTAAATTTACTTAATATACTCAAAGACTCACAAAAGTTAGCAAATGTTTCTTTTTATATCTTGTTGTTGACACATGATAAGCATCTAACTAAGATTTTTTATAACAAGAAATCTCGAATAGATAATGAAAAATGCAATACCATTTTTTTTATATTTATATTTTAAATATAGCAATATCAAGATAAAAAAATTTCAGTAAATAGGCAAGTTATGTTTAGGAATTTCATTACTAAAGTATCATTACTAAAATTTTTAGGAATTTCATTACGAGTATCATTCCTGAAAGTCGAACATAAACCTAGCTACAGTAACAATATCAGATTTAGAAGATAAGTTTAATTTAAATTGTAAACATTTTGAATAACTAAAAATTTTATGTAAAAGCGCCATTATTTTTGTTTCTTGAAAATAGTTATAAAAATAGACATTCTATTGCATACATTAAACGAAAAATAAACTAAAAAAAATTAAAATTAAATTTTTTTTTTTTACTTCTGTACAAAAAAAAAAAAAAAAAAAAAATTTAAGCATATGGTTAAATTTATCAAAATATAATTTCACTTATGAAACCAATTTTTTTTTGGAACAAAACAATATGAGAGCAGGGCCACTCCAATATGAGAGTAGGGCCACTCCAATATGAGAGCAGGGCCACTCCAATATGAGAGTAGGGCCAATATCAGGACAATTTATTCTTAAGACCCAATATTTTTTTACTGTCTTAAATACTTGTTAAATATCAAAAAGTCTATACATATCATCTATACAATATGGTTGTTTAAATAATATTTTGATTTTAGAGCTTCAAAATTTAATTTTTCCCCAGGGAAAAAATATTGTTACCCAGGGTTCTCAGTTTGGAACAGCCCTGTATGAAAGTATTTATGAAAACCACAAAGAGTAAACAAAAAAACAAAAATTAAATTAGAAATGAAAAACATAACCAAAACTTTAACTTGATATAAATAATGCTAACATACTATGAGTTAGATAAAACTCAACTTTGACTAGTTGACTTTTAGTCGAAGTTGATAATAACACTACTGAAAAACTCTTTAAATAAAAAAATTAATTATACTTAAATTTTTTATAGTATGCTAGATAAAGAGGGAATTAATTCAAAAAAACATGGTTGATAACTTTTTGTTTTAATCTTACTCATTTGGTCTACAGATATAGTTTTTGCGCAAATATGAAGCCTAATGTTTTTATTTATTAGAACATTTCTATTTATTTACTTTGTTTTATTTTTAACGCCTTTTATGTTATTAATGGTATTAACTGTATAAAACAGCAATTAAACAACCTGACAAAAATGTTTTGTATTAGCACAACTTCGCTGTATTATTTTAGAGTTTTTTACAATAGCAATTTAATACTCTTTAAAAATAAAACATGTTTTACTGTCAGCATGAATGCAGAGGAATTAAATAGTTTGCTATAACTAAGTAAAGTGGTTTAAATATTGTAATATTTGGGTTTTTAAATATCATATTAAGAAAAAATTATTTTTTTTAAAAACAATTACTCTTTTAACTAAAAATATTTAAAAGACTAATATTGTAATAGTATGAAATATGTTACTTGCTCATTACACAATAACTGCAACTTAAACTTTAAATTATAACTTTAGCTGTAAATTATAACAGTAATATATGCTACTTTAAACCCCATTAAATGAGAATATTATAAGATAATTGGCAATTACAAACTAATGTACAAAAGATACAATTTTATACTGATGCAACTCTCCTCTACTAAATTCAACTAAGTAACTTGTAACTCAACTAAATAAGCTCTAAGTAACTAGCTTTGATTAATTTGATCGAAAACCATATTGGTTTTCTATCAAATTTGGTTTCGACCGATTTGGTTATAATAAAGAAATTTGTTTTCCTGCAAAAATGCAAATACCCAATTATACACAATGTGCTCAATAATTTTTAAAAATACTGGTAACACAAATATAGGTCTATATTTTGTTATTAGACTATCATCTCCTGTTTTAAAAATTGATGTAATAATTGATACTTTTAGTTTATCAGGAAAAACACCTGTTTTTAGCAATTTGTTAAAAATATCTTAAAATTTCCTTAATTAATCCATATCTGTACTTATGCTAACTAAAATAGAATCAAAGTCTGTTGCATTTGTTTATTAAAATTTTTTTTATCTAGCAATCAATTTCTTTATGAGTAAGGCTTTTAAACAAAAACTTTTTATCAGAAAAATGTATGGGACTAAGTTTAATAAAACAATATTTTATTAATCTTACTAACTTTGATGGTTTATTATAAGTTTCTAAAGCAAATGATGCAAAGCCTGGTTCAGAAAACAACAGGTCATATCTAATCTATAAAAAAGTTGTTCAAACTCAGACACATATACTAAAAACATTGTTTCGTTAATTTCTTAAAATTCTGTTGATAAATTATTAACTTTTTAAAAAAAAATTTAGTTCAAAAATAATTTTTGTAATTAGGTAAGATAAAATTTAAGTTATCATAAAATATTGCAGAAACCTAATTTTTGGTTAAACAAACTAAAGCTAAAGTTAATGTTTAAATTAACTAATAATTAATAAATAAAATTAATAAAACTAATAACTAATAATTAATAAATAAAATTAATAAAACTAATAACTAATAATTAATAAATAAAATTAATAAAACTAATAACTAATAATTAATTAATAAAACTAATAAAACTAAAAACTAATAATTAATAAATAAAATTTATAAAACTAATAACTAATAATTAATAAATAACTAATTAAAAATTAACTAAGAAGATCTTTAGTTCTTTAAAGGTTTTACTGCAAATATTTAAATAAAAACTGAAAATTTGATGAACATATTTTGAATTGTTTAAAAAAACTCGTGCTTATAACTAAGTCAAATTAACATAAAGTTTGTTTTTGTTGAACAGTTAATCTTGAATATGTTTAGAGTTTTTTTAATTTTTTTATCAAAAAAATCTAAAAATGTTAAAGTTAAATATTTTTAGTAGCTAATGGTGGCTAAACTCTGAAAATTATATTTTTAGTTGTTAGTGTAAAAAATTTAAGAATAAAATAAAAAAGTTTTCTTCCTCACTTATTGACACATTTTTTTTTAATTTGTTTTTTTATTTTATTCTTGAGAATGAAACTTTGAATTGCAGCCTACACATTTGTTGCAGCCTACACATTTGTTGCAACCTACACATTTGTTGCAGCCTACACATTTGTTGCAGCCTACACATTTGTTGCAGCCTACACATTTTCATATTCTTTGAGTTTCTAAGTTAACCTAATTGCAGCCTATATACACATTTTCATATTCTTTGAGTTTCTAAGTTAACCTAATTGCAGCCTATATACACATTTTCATATTCTTTGAGTTTCTAAGTTAACCTAATTGCAGCCTATATACACATTTTCATATTCTTTGAGTTTCTAAGTTAACCTAATTGCAGCCTATATACACATTTTCATATTCTTTGAGTTTCTAAGTTAACCTAATTGCAGCCTATATACACATTTTCATATTCTTTGAGTTTCTAAGTTAACCTAATTGCTGTTTTAAGAATCTTTTTAGCATTTTCAATGAGCAAAGGATTAATGCTTCTTTTAGAATATAGTTAATGAATAGACTCCAATCTTGCTTCATCTGATTCAATACCATTGAGTGATTTGTTTACTCGTAATTTGTCATTTTCCATTTTTTCTACCAGTGAAGAACTTTGCGTAGCTTTTACCCCATATATGATGACCTTTGTTTCTCTGTGTTCCTGTTCTTTACAATCTTTTGTAGTTTCAAAAAGAAGTAATAGTTATTAATTTTCTTTTTTAGCACCTCCTGATACAACTTTAAACAATAAAGTTCCATTGGTAATTTATTTTTCCATTACTGGAATTTTACTTTTTAGCTGCTTGTTTTCTTTAACACATTCTGCAACCTTAACTTTCAAATGCTTTATTTCATCTTCAAAAATTTTACTTCTGTCATCTATTATCTTTATTGTTTGTTTTTCTTATTGTATTTTTAAATTAGTCATGATTTTTGCTAATTTCTCTTAGATATTTTTATTGACTTCTAATGCAATTAAGTTATAGAAATTCTATATACTATTGTCTAATAATAATTTGGTGTGTATTTATATCAGCCCAAATAGTTATTATTATCATTCATATTATTATTATATTATTATTATTTATATTATCATTATATTTATATTATTAGCCCAAACAGTTATTATTATTTATATTAGCAATTATTTATATTATATATTTATTTTGATTATAGTTGAAATTCAAAATCTGATTGAATTTAAATAAAATCCAGAAATTTTACAGAAGTATTTCTTTTTTGATCCATGATATGTCATTGTAAATGGCTATTTTTTTATTAGTAAAAAATAAAAGAAAAAGAATAAAGTAAATCAGCTATATTTTAATATAAATGTTTTAAACGTTAGATTACAAACGTTCTTGTAACAAACAATCCTTAAAAAAAAACTAATTTAAAACAATTGATTAAAAAAAAAAATTGAAGAAAAAAAAAAAATAATAAAGAACTTTAAATTATCAAAAAAAAAGCAAACTTTAATAAATTTAAACAAATAAAAAAAAGAAAAAAGAAAGTAAACAAAGGAAAAGAAGAGAAAAAAGAAGAACAGAAAACAAACAAACAAAAAAAAGAAGAACAACAAAAACAATTTTAAAGAGATTTAAAAGATTGTTCTTTTTTTTTTTTTTTTTTTTTACGTTTTAATTTGTAATTATTATTGTTTCACTATTTAAGAAGCGTTATGCCATTTAAATTTTACGTACGAAATGGCAATTTCACCTACGCATTAAGCCTTTTACATTATGCTTAAACTTTTAAAAATTTGATTATTTAAACTTTTAAAGTAGTTTAATTGGAAAACTAAGTAATTGGCAGTAATTGATTGTTGCAAAAACCATTTCACCGCAATAGTAAAATAATTTTTTTTCAGATAAAAAAAAAATAGAAAGTTAAATAAATTTTTCTTCTTTCTGCTTTTAAATAATTTGTAATTTAAATTTAAGATTTAATTTATATCATTTAAATATGTATATATATATATATATATACATATATATATATATATATATATATATATATATATATATATATATATATATATATATATATATATATATATATATATATATATATATATATATATATATATATATATATATATATATATATACCACACACACACACATATACAAATACATAAAAAATATAGCAAGTATTTTAATCAATAGTTAACAAAATCTTTTACTTCATAAATTCAATTTGCATAGGCTCTGAAACTTCATTAGGATATTTTCTGTGGTAATGCTTAATCATACGTAATCTCCCATAAAACTCAGCAAACTCATTTGGACCAGAAATGAGAGCTATTTCTTCTTTCAATAATGAATCTTCATCAGAATACAACTTCTCAAGTTTTTCTAAACAAAGTATTTCAGAATTATTGCATTTTTTTTTTAATTTTAAAAAATAATCTTAAAAAAAGTAAACAACAAGAATGCTCTAATTACAAGATGTTACAGGAACAACACACAAATCTTATTTTTATTAAATATATATTAAAATTTTTTTTTTTTCTATAAAAATGATTTAATTCTAGGAATGATTTTAAAATGTTATTATTATAACTATAATCTAATGATATATTTTACAAGCAGGTCCTAAAAGACAGGGATGGCAAACCAAAACACAAATGATACTTTACAATTTACACTCAGTACATGCTAATATATAAGTAATAGTAATGGAACAGAGTTGATAGAGTTTGAATAAGCAGCAAACTAATTTTCTCTATAGAATGTTAAATAATGATATACTGACAAATATTGAATGTAGAATAGTATTTAAGAAAAAACGCTATTAAAAACAGTATGTAATAATAAAATAATACAATTATTAAAAGTAATAAATCATGCAATTAACAACATTTGCAAAGCTAAATTAATTTAAAAGTGAAAATACTTAGTTTGAATGCTCAAAGTGGAATCAAAATACCATCCTCTCTAATTATTGCTATATTAGGAGAAAGAAAAAAACCTTGGAACATTAAAATAGAGTGAATATAGTTGAGAATATCAAGTAATTGCACACTGTTATTGAAGAAAACCCTCATGAAATACATCATGCAAATACAACCAATTGTTTTAATCACAATGTTAAAAAAAGAAAAGAAAATGAGCATCACAACGGATACCCAACAAATTAACCCTTTACAGGTCAGGGTTGCCGTATGGCAACAAATAGTTTAATGTTACTTAAAACGTATAATTTTTTATATGGCCCGGATTTTCTTGGTTTAATACGGTATTTAGACTATGCTAATGCAAATAGTAAACAAAGATTGCAGTTTAGCGGCATTTTTGTATGAGAATCATTGCCTTGATTGTTACTACATTTTTTGGAATAAAATATGTATCAGTTTCAGGCCATCAAGATGTGTCAAAACACTTTGTTTATTATTATATTTGTAGTGAATGTTAATTACCAGAAGTTGTTCTGTATTTTTACATTATTTGTTTTGTATAAGCTTTGACTGCATGATTTATTACTTCATAACAAATATTTTGTTGCCATACGGCAACTGTGTCCTTTAATGGACATATTTTGAATAAAGCCTTATTTTAGATATCTCGCTACTTTATATCTCCCAAGTAGATATTAAAATTTTTATTTCTTATGTTTCCAAAGTTTTCTTTTATAAGTGAAGTTTTATATATATATATATATATATATATATATATATATATATATATATATATATATATATATATATATATATATATATATATATATATATATATATATATATATATAAATATATATATTTATATATATTTATATATATATTTATATATATATATATATATATATATATATATATATATATATATATATATATAGTATATATATATATATATATATGTATATATATATATATATATATATATATATATATATATATATATATATATATATATATATATATATATATATATATATATATATATATATGTTTATATATACATATATGTAGTGCGAGTAGATAATTTAATATTTTTAGAGTATAAGTAATTTAAAAAGAAAAAGAAATTAACCACTAAAATTGTTATGATGGAAAGACAACGCTATCAAAAAACACGATACACAATTCAGGATGTTGTAAACTTTGTTCTTGAGCCTGGTTCTGATTCAGAATTATCAGAACTTTCTGAATCCTCTGATGATGAAAACGAAGTTGGCCAACCTAAAATTGATTGTGATGAAGAAGAAGAGATAACTGATAACGAAGAAATCTGTGGAGGTGAAGATCAAAATATATCAAATTTTGAGTCAGTAAGAAAAAGAAAAAAACCACACGAGTTTCGGTGGCGATCTACTGAACCGCAATTAATCGATTCGGAATTTATGGGAGAAAATTTCACATTAGCCCCGGATAATTTTAATGAACTTACACCTCTTGATTATTATTCCCAGTTCTGGACAAAAGAAATAACAGAACTGATTGTAGAACAAACAAATCTTTATAGTACCCAACTTTCCAGTAAGTCAATAATCACAAATGTTAATGAAATGGATCAGTTTATGGGAATGCAAATGTTAATGGGTATTTTAAAGCTGCCAAGCTACCCTATGTACTGGATGAATGAAATCAGAATTAATACAATTGCTGATGTTATGCCAATTAATAGGTATAAAGCGTTAAGAAGATATATTCATGTAGTTGACAATTCAAAAAAAGATGAAGCAGATAATAAAAATGATAAACTTTTCAAAATTAGACCTATATTAGAGATGGTGCGGGATAATTGTCACAAAATAGAACCAGAACCAGTGCATTCTATCGATGAGCAAATAATACCTACGAAAACAAAACATAGTGGTATTCGCCAATATAATCCGAAAAAGCCTCACAAATGGGGGTTTAAAATGTTTGTTCGATCTGGCTCAAGTGGAATCATCTATGATTTTTTTTTGTATTGTGGCGCAAAGATTGTTCTGCAGAGAATGTTGTTTTAAGATTGGCTAAACGAATACCAAAAAATTTAAACTTTAAGTTGTGTTTTGACAACTGGTTCTGTACTCTTTCTCTTTGTCTCAAACTAAAAGAAATAGGCATACTGACAACAGCAACTATTCGTACAAATCGAATAGCAAAGTGTCCACTGCTTTCTGAGAAAGATTTAAAAAAACAAGGTCGGGGTCTTTTTCATATAAGGTTGATGCAAACTCTGGTCTGTTGCTTCTAAGATGGTTTGATAACAAATGTGTTCATATGACCTCAACATATTGTTCAGCTAATACATCTGGTAATGTTAAACGATGGGATCAAAATAATAGGAAACATATTCAAGTACCTTGCCCGCAAGTTGTAAAAGAATACAATACTGGAATGGGTGGTGTAGACTTGTCTGACATGCTTATTAGCTTATATCAAATACCCATGAAAACAAAAAGATGGTACTTACGTGTGCTTGTTCATTGCATGGATATATGTAAGATAAATGCTTGGCTGCTGTATAGAAGACATGGTAACCAGTTGAATATTTCTCAGCGTAGCCAACTTAACCTCCTTCAATTTAGCAGTCAAATTGCTAACGCTTTAATAATGAAAAGTAAACGAGTTGACAGACCTATTGGCCGACCGATAAAAAAATTATCAACTAATTCTGATTTAACCGAAACACGAAGTCGCAAAGTTCAGGTACCAACACCCCAAAATGATATACGATATGATGAGTTTGGACACTGGCCAAATCCTCAAATTAACAAAAACAAATGTCGATTGTGCAAGAAAACCGTTCGTATGTCTTGCCTAAAATGCAAAGTTTTTTTATGTTTAAGCAATGAAAGAAATTGTTTTTATCAGTTTCATAGAAAGTAGGAACTTTTGAAGAAAACTAATTATGACTTATTTTTTCAAGAAGACTGATTATTATTGTTTACTAACTAAAAGTAATAATTTGATTTTATACCCTAACCGGTCAAAGTTGCCATATGGCAACAAAAAATCTCAAAAACTGCTTATGTCAGCAAAAAAAAAATTATTGATTATTACTCCATACACCAAATAGATTCTTTAAAATAAAAATAAAATTTTTTCTACCATTTTTTCTAATGCTGACCTGTAAAGGGTTAACCAATGAAAAGGAGAGTTGAGACAAAGAAAATTTATCACTATTCAGAAACAATGTATAGAGACTACTAGATATTATTACAGGGAATAAGTTGTGATTTTATTTGAAACAAATTGAACTGTTAGTTAAGTTGGTGAATGTGAATGTTGTTGAATGTCAGGTTTGAAAGACAATCATATTATACATATTAAAAAAAGCAGGTGTTATTCATTAGGGAATTGAAGTCAAGCTAAAATTTAATAATCAAAAATAAAATTTTAAATCTTGCAGAAATAAAGACAAGAAAAAAGAGAGAATTAATTTTAGTATTTGTGAGACTTCAAGAGCAACCAATAAAGAAGCAGGAGGAACTAGTCTAAGTGTTCTTCGAAAACATTTATATTGATCTAAATGATATTTTACATGTAGACCCATATAAAAAGATAACCAAGTAATAAACAATGAACTTAACAAACAAGGAGTTTACATTTGTGAGGATCAAGCTCAAGCAGAACAAGATGCATTTAACAAATTAGCTGCTGAAAAGATATACAGAAAAATTAATTAGAAGATTTTTTGATGATATTTGTGAACTGTTAGATTTATCAATACCGATAATTTAATACTTTCAACCTGTTCATTAATGTTAGTCTATGGAGATTTTAATTTCAGTCATACAACCTAAAGTGACATTGGTGGAGAATGAACTCCACCACAACCCACATAGGGGAAGAATGACAAACTGACTAAAATTTCTAAAATGTTTAAATTAATATTATTTTATTTAAGTGATGATCTTTCTAACATATCATAACTTCAGAAACGAGGATCCAAATAGCACACTTGACCGTATTATAACTGATAAACAAGTAAGGTGACTCATTAGATCATACATCCGTAGGCCAATTTTACTGTTTTATAATTGGATCATTCACAATAAACTATACATATGAAAACAACCCAAAAATAAAAAATACATCTGGAGTAGAGCAGACTATAAAACTATTTTAACACAAATACTAGCATTTAACTGGAACAATATATTGGAAGACTCTTCGATGAATGATGAATGACAACTACTTGGTCCTCATCAAAAAGTACATTGAGGCAGTTGATTGGTACATCCCATTAACTACCAAAACCATTTATCAAAAAAAAAAAAAAAGCAATTTATCGAGATTATTTATTGCTTTGAGCATTTGTTTATTGTGTAGTAATTTAGTTATACATTGTTTATTATAATTGTCAAAAAAATATAAAAACTTTTTAACATGCTTTGTTGTTCAAGTTCAATTTTTAGACATAAT